GCGCCGACATGCAGCTCACTGTTGGCTATAGTGCAGCCGGAGCAGACAGTAAGTGCGAGGTCTCTTTTAATAAAACAATAAATGTGTACCGTATTCTTCTTCATGGAAAAATAAGAGATCCCCTGAAAATAAGACCTAGTGCATCTTTGGGAGTAAAAATTAATATAACATAATGTCTTACTTTCGGGGAAACGGGTAAGAATATGCTCATACCTATCAGCGGACACTATGAAGACAAGAGAGAGAGGAGTAACATATTCCAAATATTGAAAGAAAATAACGCAAACCCAAGAATATTCTATCCAGCCAAATTATCTATCAAGATAGATATAGAAGAGCCTTCCCAGACAAGGAAAAACTCAAAGAATACATTAAAAGAAACCCAGGCCTACTAAAGATCGTTGCCAACCCAGTATGGGAAGAAGAACAGCACTGAGAAAGCACAAATAAGAGACCGCCACACAGAACAACCCCACCCATAGGGCAACAAAGAGAAAACAGCCCCCAAGATAGCATTGTTTAAGGGTGGAAATAAGTAAAAAAATGAAACACACACACACACACAACACACTGATAAGAAAGGGAGGTAGGAAAACACCCAACACAAAAGGTATAAATGACATCACAGAGTCCATAGATGGAGGAATAACCCTGAATATCAATGGACTTAACTCAGGCATTAAAAGACTGAGGCTCACAGACTGTCTTAGAAAACACAACCCATCAATCTGCTCCCTGCAGGAGACACATCTCAATGTTACAGACAAAAATAGGCTGAGAATCAAAGGCCGCAGAAAAACAAACCAAACAGCAATTCAAAAAAATCAGGGGTTGCAATCCTAATCTCAGATAAAATTGACCTCGAAGTGCAAACCATAAAAAGAGATAAGGAGGGTCACTATATACTGCTCAAGGGAAGAACCACTAAGCATTTTAAACATCTATTCCCCGAATGAGAGACCCACTGAATATGTCAACCAAATGCACCAAAAGATGCAAAAAGAAATCACAGCCTCAACAATTATAGTAGTTGACTTTCTGAGAAAGGTAGATCACAGGGAAAGAAACTCAACAAAGAGGCTACAAATCTAAACACTACAATTAGACAATTTGACCTGATATTTACAGAGCTCTCCACCCAAATACAAAAAAAAAATCATATTCATTTCAAGCCCACATGGCACTTATTCGAAGATAGCCCACATGCTGGGGCATAAGGCGAATCTGCATACATTTACACACATTGATATCATACAGACCTCTCTCTCTGACCACTGTGCCGTAAGGCTGGAAATCAACAAAAGGAAGACAAAGAAAACAAGGGAAAACCACTGGAGGATGACTAACTCATTATTGCAAAGGGAGTGTGTACTGACTCATCTCAGAGATGCAATCAGAAAATTTCTAGAAACCAACGAGAAGGACAACACTATGTACCAAAACTTATGGAACACAGCAAAGGCAGTTATAAGAGGATGTTTCATGGCAATACAAGCACACACTAAAAAGGAAGAGACATTTATGATTGCTATGCCACCACAAAATTTACAGCAACTAGAGCAGAGTCAATAGGACAATCCTACTAATAGCAAAAGAAAATAAATAATAAAAATCGGGGCTGATATTCAGGAGGGGGAAATATGAAAATTATGGGAAAAAACAATGCTGCTAAAAGTTGGTTCTTTGAAAGGATAAACAGAATCGACAAACCTAACCAAAGAAAGGAAGGAACAAATTTCAACAGCAAGGATGAGGGATGAAAGAGGGGACATTACAACAGACCCTACTGTACTCCAATGAATTCAACTTGGAAGACATGAACAAATTCTTGAAAAACGATCCCTCCCTAGACTATCCCTGATGGACGTCAAGAATCTAAAGAGACTCATAGCAATAGAATAAATAGAAAAGGTTGTCAAGGGATTACCAACAAAAAAATTCCTCAGGCCAGATGGCTTCACAGGAGAATTCCACCAAGCATACAGGGAAGAATTGACACCAATCCTACACAAACTCTTCCAGAACATAGAAAAAGATGGCAAACTCCCGAACTCTTTCTATGAAGCTAGTATAACTCTGATACCGAAACCAGGCAAGGATCCCACAAGAATCGAGAACTACAGACCAATATCCCTAATGAACATCGACACAAAAATCCTTAACAAAATACTGGTCAACAGAATACAAAACTATATAAAACCAATAGTTCACAATGACCAAGTGGGATTCATACCAGTGATGCAGGGATGGTTTAACATACAAAAGACCATTAGTATTATTTGCCACATTGACATGAAAAATGATAAAAACCACATGATAACATTGATAGATGCAGAAAAAGCATTTGACATCCAATACCAATTTAAGACACAAGAAAATAGGAAGAGAAGGAAAATTCCTCAATATAATACAAGCTATATGTGAAAAACCAACAGCCAACGTGGTAGTCAATGGAGAAAAGACTAATACGATCAACTGAAAAAGGGGACCAGACAAGGAAGCCCCTTGTCCCTATTCTTATTGAACATCGTACTGTAGGTCCTAGCCAACAGCATAAAATAAGGAAGAGGCATCAAAGGTGTTCATCTGGGGAAGGAAGCGGTGAAACTATCGTTATTTGCAGATGATACGATTTTATATATGGAAAATTCCAAAAGCTCCACAAGGGGACTACTGGAAGCAACAGAGGAATATGGCAGAGTGGCAGGATACAAGATCAACAAACAGAAGTCTATCGAACTGCTATACACATCAAACAGGACCAGAGAAGAGGAGATCAAAAAGGTGGTACCCTTCACAATAGCCAAGCACAAATTGAAATATCTAAGGATATACCAGGCTAAAAAAAACAAAAAGATACACAATGGATGGATGGATTATGATGAGTTTTATGAGCCCCAATAAAATGATTAAAAACAAAAAAGATCTGTACGAGGAAAACTACAGAACACTATTACAAGAAACCAAGAGTGACCTCAACCAACGGAAGAAAATCCCAAGCTAGTGGATCAGAAGACTCAATATAGTAAAGTTGTCAGTTTTACCCAAGGCACTATTAAAGTTTGATGTTATCTCAATAAAAATACCATCATCTTTTCATCTTTCTTCAGAGAGTTGGAAAAACTGATTACCAACATCATATGGAGAGGGAAGAAGCCCAGAATTAGCAGAGAACTCCTCAAGAATATCACTTAGTCCATATGCTCCCTGTGTTTGTTTCTTTTCCTACTCCCCACCACCCACTCCTGCCTTCTGAACTTTGACCTAGGGCAGCTGCTGCACCCAGGCTTCATTTGATCGCCTCCTTCCCACAAGCTCTCCTCTATTAGACCTTGTCCACCTCAAACAGCTTCCACAGACATTCAGTTAATAAATCCTTCCTTAATATGAAAATAACTGCCACATACCTAGTTATTTCTAAAGAGAAGATTAAAGACATGAATCAAGCACTTTACATCTTTAAAACAAGTATGAAAACACACAACAGAACAGATCCAGATTTTAAAACCAATGTGATAGTGGCACTATACCTTACAAATGTTACTCAAATGGCTCATGGAATGTCCCAAAGTCTTCTCATTCTGCAAGGGAACCAAACAGGTAGTTAAGTATCAAGCTTTGATAAAAATGGGCAAAGAATATAATTATAGCAATCCTACAGACAAGTCATTCCTTCAACCAATATTTGCTGAGCACATTCCTGTTAAGTACTGAACCAGGTTTCCAATACTAGAAATTTGGCAAAGATGAATCAAATAACAAAAGAGAGTGCCTGTACTATAGGGACTTAATATTTAATCAAAGAAAGAGCAAGAGTTTAGAATTAAATACAACACTGAAGGGACATTCTGTTCTAGAGGGGGTTCATTATGTAGGTAATGTCTTCCTAATTATGAAGAAACGGAATGAAGCAGAAAGTCGGACAGGTGACCCCATTAGAATGATCTGGCTCTCTATGTCTTGGGTATTCAACAGGTACATGGCCTAGCCCACATCATCTGGTTTAAATCTGCTTTGTTCTCCCAGATTAGAAAATTCTGAGAGTTACCAAGTCTCCTTTCTCATTTATCAACTTCAACATTCAGGCACAAAGCCTTGTATCAAATGCTCCCTTAATCTAATTTTTTTTCTCCATTTCTATAGTCAATCCCTTAGGTTAGGTTCCTTACTTCTTACTTGAAATTCACCAATAGCTTACTGCCCGGTCTTTCTAACTTTTCAGTTGACTTCGCTGATACATAAAGGCACTTGCTTTCTAAAGAAGTGGAAATTCTACAACTAATTTTTAAAAAGATGAAAGTAACTATTCTTGGATCCATCTACCCTTGCTCTAGATTCAAATGAATTTTAAAAGCTATTTTAAAAGGAAAGAAGATGCTACTTAGATTGTTAAAAATATCTAGTGTCAATTTAATTCACATACAATAATCATGGGTAAGATCAGAAGAAAAGTTAGGATTGACATGGATGCAAAATCAAAAGAGACATTTCACCTAATGTAAAATGGATGAACTATGCCGCTAAAGACTCAGCATAACTGTTCTCACAGATTTAAGCCCCACTCTTTTGGAATCAATCTTATAATTAAATAAATGTTTTCCTCTGTGGTCAGGATAATAACAGAAATGATGCAGCATGGTGTTTGTAAAGGATACCTTATCAAAAGTCTTTGTTTCAGATCTCCATGAAGTTGTATGTCTTGGGCAAGGTAATTTTTAGTATTCTATTCTCCAAAACATGAGACCCCCGTCTCAACCCTGTACCTTTCAGCAAATCAATAATGCTCAAAATCACACTTTGGTTTGTCCTGACTTTAATAGATCTCAATAAACTAATCAGAATGTTATATTTTGTAATTCTACACACAACATAATATGTATGATTCATATCCCTGCTCTCTTGGATCCGTGGCTTCACTTGAGATTTTCAGGGTTCCCTCTACCTATTACTTCAAATCTCTTTAATATTCCATTAACGGAGTTAGAGTCTTTTCTCTATTACATTTGGCATAGTCAGTATGCTTTGAAATGTCTTTCCAAGTAGACCACAAAAAGCTGAAAAACCAGAGTCAGGGGCAACCAGGGCCCCTTAAACCCTTCCACTTTCTTGGACCCATTTGGAACCTGTCTGGATGCAAGTGCTCCGAGTTTGAGTCCTGAAGCATTATAGGCTTCTGTGATTTAAGAGTTATTTTCCATTTTCACTTTTCCATTCACCACTGAAAAAAATAAAATTGGTTTGTGTTTTTTAACTGCAGTTTGGGTGTTCTCAAGTTCCCACCTACGGACTATGTGAGTGTGAGTGTGTGTGTGTGTGTGTGTGTGTGTGTGTGTGTGTGTGTGTCCGATTTCCAACGCACGGTTGAAATGGCTAACTACTGATGTGTTTTCAGTTGTTAAAAATTGCAAGATCAAAGGGCACAAGTTAAAGACTCCTATGTTTAGGCTAATTTTATGTGGGCCAGACAAGAGCAAGCAGCTGTCTGATGTTTGCATAAATGACCATGCAACCCAAAACAAAACCATACTGGTTTAAGCAATTCAGCCCAACCTGATGAAAGCATTCTACATTAGGTTTTAATCAGACCCTGAAAGTGTCATCAGGATTCTCAGTCTGTCTTTTAAACATTACCTTCCATTTGTTCTAAGTGTTTTCCATAGTTTTCTTTCCAGCACCAAGTTGACCCATTTAATGTGTGATTAGCTAAATTTGCCACCTAGTGGCCAAAATTACAAAAGCTCACTACACGAACTATTTTTTCATTTGTGCACATCAAGCTTTCAATAATCACTTTTATTTTGCTTTAATAGAATGAGTTTTACTATAGGAATTTCCTTAAGGGTAGTACTGAAGTTTTCAGTTTTCTCTTCTTTTTGTTTGTGGTCTGTCACAAACTTAATGTTTTGGTGGAAATTTTTCGTGTGCAGGATGCAGTGTAGCAATGATGAAACATACAACTTTCCTCTAGTTCCTAAATGTCCCTCCACCCCACTATCATGATCCCAATTCTACCTTACAAATCTGGCTAGACCAGAGGATGTACACTGGTACAGATAGGAGCCAGAAACACAGGAATCCAAGACGGATGAGCCCTTCAGGACCAGTGCTGAGAGGCAATACTGGGAGGGTGGAGTAAAAAGGGGGAACCGATTACAGGGATCTACATATAACCTCCTCCCTGAGGGATGGATAACAGTAAAGTGGGTGAAGGGAGATGTCGGACAGTGTAAGATATGACAAAATAATAATTTATAAATTATCAAGGGTTCATGAGGGAGGTGGGAGTGGGGAGGGAGGGGGAAAATGAGGAGCTGACGGCCAGGGGCTTGAGTGGAGAGCCAATGTTTAGAGAATTAGGGTAATGAATGTACAAATGTGCTTTATACAATTGACATATGTATGGATTGTGAAAAGTTGTATGAGCCCCCAATAAAATGATTTTAAAAAAAGAAAATTTTCATGTAATAAACTCATCATAAAATGGACAAAAATATAACTTCTGTGCAAACGTCTTCCTTGAATTTATTTAAAGGGGCACCAAGATTAACACACCTTTTGGTTTCCAAAATGTGCAGACCTTTGGTAAAATTAGGCATGTCACCTCAAAAGATTATAGTAAAACCTAACTTCAAGTGCCCTTAGAAAAGTTTTGAGCTCACTAAATTAACTTTTCTGTGCAGTATACACAGAAAATTTTGGCTAATTTGCTTTGATGCAAGCATTGTGTTTAGGCAAGAAAGCAAATTTGAAACTGCTGTGCCAAACTTCTGTCACTCTGAACTCATCTCTTTCTATTTCTCTTTTCATGGTTGCTTCTTTTTATCCTTCATTTCCTACCTTTCTGATAATGCTTTGTCAGAAATCCCCTATTTTTTCAAGAGAAGAGAGAGGCAGATCAAGGAATGAGGCAAAACCAGTAATTAAAATGTCTTTCAAAGTTGAGTGTCCAGGGATGGGGTACAGGACGGGGATGAAGATGCTCTCTGGATTGAAGTGGACTTTCATCCATTGTTAAAGAAGTTCCTGATATTCACAGAGATCCTCGAACATTTTGTCAAGAATTTAAAGTTTTGACAGTAACATATGAACCAAGCCCAGCAAATGTATGCAATTGATTACAGATATTAATGGGACATGAGGCTACACAAAGGTAAACTACTGGCTTCATAGGTGTTTGGTGCTGTTGAGTTGGTTTTCACTCATAGTGATTCCATATTCAAGGGGACAAAATAGTTCTCAGTTCTGAGCCATCCTCATAATCATTGCCATGATTTAGCCCAATGCTGCAGCCATGATGTCAATCCATCCTTTTTCTCACTCTGCAACGCATAATGTTCTTCTCTAGGTACTGGTCTCTCCTGTTAACATGTCTGGAGTATGGTTTTTTATGTTGAGGTGTAGTGCACAGTGAAGTTTAAACTGTACTCTTTGATCTTCACCAGTATATGTAATTCAAGTTCTCTTCATTTTCAGCAAGTCAGGTTGTGTTATCTATCTTTCGCAGGTTAATAACTGTGTTAGTCTGGGTACTTTAGAGAAACAAATCCACAGAAACTCACGTATAAGAAAGAGTTTATATAAAGGTTAAGTGCACATCAAGAAAACATCCCAACCCAGTGCTGCCCAAGCCCACAAGCCCAACAATAACCCATATGTCCGACACCAATCCACAAAGTCCTCCTCCTTCTCACAAAACACATGCAATGATGCCAACTGCAGGAAGAAAGCCAAATCAGTGAATGTGTAAGCATCTCAGCATTGGCAGGGGTCTCCACACGGCTGCTCCAGCACCCAGGGCCGCATCGGAGTAAGTCATGGGGCTTCTCCTTGGGGATGTCTTGCAGGAAGTAAGCCTTGCCAGCTGAGGCAGGGAAATGGCTAAGGCAGCTGCACCCTGGTCTGACCATCAGAAAGCAAGAGACTTGAGAACTAGAAAGGCGAGGCTCACCGAGCCATTTATCTCTCCGCCCTTCAATTAACCTCACATGTGTTTATTGGCCAGGTTGGCACAATAAACTTTAACTATATCAATAAGTCTTCCTCCCATCCTGATGCTGCATTCTTCATAGAGTTCAGCTTCTTGGATTAAACTCAGAATACAAACTGAACAAGTGGTAAAAGGATGCAACCCTGACATCTCTTTTCTGATTCTGAACTATGCAGTGTTCGTTGTTCTGTTTGAACAACTTCCTCTTGGTCTATGTACAGATTCCACATGAGCACAATTAAGTGGTCTGAAATTCCTATTCCTCTGAAAGTTGTCCATAACTCCTTATAATTTACAGTCAAATACTTTTGCATAGTCAACAAATCACAGGTAATTATCTTTGTTATTCTGTACTTTCAGCCATGATTAATTTGACATCAGCAATGAGAACTTTGTGCGACGTCCTCTTTTGATTCTGGCTTGGATTTTTTAGCAGTTCCTCACTGATGCACAATTGTAACTATTTTTAAATTATCTTCAATAGACATTATGTGTGTAATATTAATGATTCGGTTTGATAATTTCCACATTCTGCAGAATCAGCTTTCTTTGGAAGGGATATAAATATGGATCTCTTCCAGTCTTTGTCTTCTA